TACACACACACATATCGTATCTCTCCTCCTTTACATTCTATCACTTCTTTCTTCCGCTTTATTCTCTCGTCCTCCAGCCCTTTTAACGTCCTCCCCTTTCTCTTACCCCTATTCTAACTCCCTTTCTGCTCCCCACTTCCCATCTCCATTCTTTTCACTTTTCCTCTCTTATATCTCTGACCTCTTCCCCCTTTCTACTCATTTTCTCACCTGTTCATTCTCTCCACTTCCCCACTTTGTTTTATCAATAGATGCCTTTCTTCTTCCTTCCTTACTTTCTCCTCCCCATTTCATTCATTCACCCCTCCTCCCCTTCTAATCCCTCAATCTCTCAACCACCCTTTCCTTCTCTCATTTCTCTTACTCTCCTTGCTTTTCCACACCATCATCACTCCTCCTCTTTCTCCCTCATCGTCCGCTCTAACCTCCCCTTTTCTCTCCCTCATATCCCACCCCTATTTTCTCCTCATCTCCCACACTTCACCTGCTCCCCTCTCTTACCTCCCTGCTTCCCTCCCTTAAAAAAAAAACCCTCATTCGGTTCCTCCTCCCTCATTTTTCTTCCTCCTACGCATCCCTCCCTAATTTCTCACCTCCCACCTTTCTCGTCATTCCCGTTCAACTCCCTTCATCTCTGTCACTCCCAGCTTGCTTTCCCTACCTCTCATCTCCCCCCCCCCTCCCTCATCACACACCTTACCAGCTTCCCCTCCTTCTGCCCTCATTCTCGCCCTCCCTAACCTCATTTTTCACGCCACTCCCAGCTTCCCTCCCTTACTCACCACCCATTTCCGCTCATTCCTCCCCTCCTCCTCATCCCTCACCTCTCCACTTTTCCCTCCCTTAACCTCACCCCCATGTCTTCTCTCATTTTCCCCATCCCTCCCTCATTCATGTCACCGCCCACTGTTCCCTTCCTTAACCTCCCCCGTCCCATGTCTTTCCCTCATTTTCCCCCTCTCCCTCAATTCATGTCACCTCCCCAGCTTCTTTATCCCTCGCCTTTAACCTCCCCCACCCCCTATTCTTTTCCCTCATTCCCCTCTACCTCCCTCCCTCATCTTTCACCTCCCCAACTTCATCTTTACCTTCTCCCCCATTCTCTTCACGACCTACCGTCCTCGAGTTTCCCTCCCCTAACTTACCCCCATGCCATTCCATCATTCTCCCCCCACCCCTCCGTCACTCCTCCCTCCCCAACTTCCCTCCCTTACCTTCCACTCCCCCACTCACACGCCGACAATTCTCCCCCTCGCTCCCCCCTCCGCCCTCC